AGACAAATAAATAAATAAATAAATAAATAAATTTTGTCAAAAGCCAGCATTTACTTCCAGTTCTGGCAAAACCAGGCCCACCGACTGACTTTATGATCCTTGTGTAGTCCCTCAACAAAAAAGTCATAAAACCGGGTTGGTCACATCACCAATCAGCTGTCAGGCCTCCAATCATATTCCTTTTAGGATCTTTGGCCTGCCACACTCTCTCATTTTACTAGGCTGTTTCATTAGTGGGGGAATTGGGAGGGGGAATAGTAAGGTGTAGAATGTGTTGTTTTCAAAATAAAAAATTCCTTTCTAGAAATCAAGGTCATTCTTTGTCTCTGCACCTGACTGGAACTAGATGGGTGGAAATGCCAACGTGGCAGTGGAAGATTGGTCCACGTGATGGACTTGTGGGTGTGGGGGAAAGATCATGAACTTTCAACTGGGTGGAAAACCCAGGAAGTTTTCAGATTTGGGTTTTACAAAGATATGTCAACATGACTCTCTTAATAAATTGGAAGTTTGAGAAAAGTTCTGCCTTGGACTCTGATTTAGTTTTGGATATTTGGAACGCTGACATTAACCCAAATGTCCTTTAAAACAAACCACCAGCAACCCTGGCAAGGGCTGCTGATGACTCCCTACACTGACCTCACTAGATTACTTGGGTTATCGCATCTCCAACGAGGGGATAGAAATGGATCCCCAACCTAAGGTGATGAAAAGTCCAAACATTGGGGACACCTCGGGGGAGAGTAATGCCGAAGACGACCGTCACCATTTACAACTGTCATCAGCAGGCTCCATTATGGTCATAGCTTGAGGACTACTCGCATAGTGGCTAAGGCAATAGAGATAGCGTCATACCATGTTGTTATAAAACTTATTACACATATAAAGGTAAAGATCACTCCTGTCCAGTCATATTCAACTCTAGAAGATAGTGGTCATTGCTGTTTCTTAGCCTAGGGCAGCGATGGCTAACTTTTCACCACATGCCGACCTGTTTGCTGGAAATGGCAAGCAAAATCATCCCCCTGGACTATATGGTCTTGCTGGCCTTCGCACACACAAATTTCTGGTTTCCTGTGCAGGCGCACGCCCGACAAACAGCTGGCCGTCGTGCATGCATGCAAAGGAAACCTGGAAGTTTAAGTGTCGGTGCGCAGATGCACACTACTCTTCTGGGTTTTGGCACTTCCATGTGTGCGCACAGGAATGCGGAAGACGAGCGTGCGAGGCCACGCGTCATGGCCTCTGCATGCCATCCAGCACGCATGCCATCGGTTCGTCTAGGGAGCCACTGTTGTCTGAAAGCATTTTCATGGCCATGTGGCCAGCATGACTATACGCTGCAGCACATGAAATGCTGTTGCCTTCCCTCCAATGTGGTACCTATTTATCTAGTCACATTTGCATGCTTTCAAACTGCTGGTGAGCAGGAGCTGAGGCAAGAATGGGAGCTCATCCGTTGCACAGCGCTTGCGTCGCGAACCCAGACTGTTAGCTTTCCAGCTCACAAGCTCAGCATCTTTAACCACCGAGCCACTGTGCCCCCTTTTGATACACGTACCCCAATTTCTGATCATGTAGCTTTACTTGCAAGCCCCAAAAGTAACTCACTTCTTTGAGTAAAAGGCGTCCTCTTCTTTGACTTCGTTAATTACTACTTTGGGCGGCTCTTCCTCCTCTTCATCACCCCCTGCTGGGAAAAGTATTTCAGGTCAGAATTACATTTCATGCCAGAAAGCTTATTGTTTGTGAAACTGTACCACTGTATGTAAAAAAATCTTGTTGGGTGTGGGCCCCGAATGAAAAAATGGAAATACTTCAGAGGCACTCAAACATTTTGTATTTCGAAATGTCTTCCAGCCTGAATGCCAGCTCTCTTGCTAGGTTTCGATCATATCAAGCTCATTTCCAACCATTCCTACTTCCCTCTAGTAAACTGGAACATCCTACTTTCACATTTAAAAGATACACACACCTCTGACGCAATTGCTCTGTTCCCAATGAGGAGAGGGATAGAAATGAACAGTCCCTGTACCCATCCCCAGCATTTGCAAGTCCCTGAAATCCAGAAACAAGCACAGAAAGAATTTTCACTAGCTGGAGAGCCAGTGTGTATTTCTTATCATCACTGTTTAAATGCAGGCCTAGACCACGGTCTGCATTACCTACAGGAATGCAAGGGACGGACTGCATACCTCACAAGAACCAGGAAGAATGTATTTAGAAAACGACTGGCTCAGCTTATCCGAAGGGTTTTAAACTAAAATTGAATGGGGAGGGTGACCAATTTTTAGGACCTTTGGGACCTAATCCCAAGCATAAACCCGAAGATATCAAACAAGGAGGTAGGGATGATGGAAAAGAAGAAAAATTCAAATGTGAAGTAGTGTTGTGGCCCACCAGTGGCCAGCAGGGCTGGCAGCAGATTCGGACAGTGAGGTGATTGGGGAGGAACATGGGCGAGTCCTGGAGTCTGGGGAGGGCTCTGATGAGGGCTCTGTGTTGGAGGCAGATAGGAGGCCAGAGCTGTATGCCAGTTATCAGCTGCCTTCAGAGTCAGACATCAGTGAGGCAGAAGAACAGCTGGAGCCTGTTCCCAGTGTGCGCATGCACAGAGTTGCCAGATAAACAGAAAAGCTAAAGAACAGGGGTCGACTTGGGAGTA